TTCTTTAACAGAAGAATAAGTGGCTTGGATGGCCTTAAACTCTTCCCAAAATTCTGACATTGAATCAGAATCAAAAGCTAAGCCTTCCGAAGAAAAACTAGATGTAGAAGTAGAGGTTACCTCATCACTAGAATGAGCCATGAGGCATAGGTCTTCTATCTCAGTATCAAGGCAACATAAGGCCTCATCAGAGTCAGAGTAAGAACTGGATTCTGTCTCGGACAGAGGGTCTTTTTCGAGCTGTTCTGTGACGAGTGCTTTCCTCCATCTGGTATTGTCTTCAAATTTCTTCTTTTCTCCATCATGCCCTTGTCTCTTGGACACTCTTGGATGTGGACAATCTGCCTTGAAGTGTCCAGGTTGTCTGCAGTTATAACAGAGAAGCTCACCACTGCTCTCTGTTGCTTTGGGTTTCTGGAATGGATTTCTGCTGGAAGATGGACTTCTTCCATCTTTGGGATTCTTCATAAATTTTTTGAATCTCCTAGCAAAAGCAGCCATATATTCGTCAGATAAAAGGATTGAAGGGTCAAAATCATTTACCTTGGATGTACTAGGTGTGAGGGCTGTAGTTGTCCTTTCTTCTGGTACATCCTCCTTTTCTTCAGTCATCTCGAACTCATGAGCTTTGAGGTCTGAGATGAGCTTGTCTGTGGGGTAAGTCTTTACATCCTTGCTGGCTTGGACAGCAACCACCTTCATCTTCCATACTGAGGGCAATCCCCTCAACTCTTTGAGATTGATCTCTTTGGTGGTAAGTTCCTTGCCAAGTTCAGAGATCTCTCCAGTGAGAGTGAGGAGCCTGTCGTACATCTTGGGGATGCTTTCACCAGGGAGAAGCTTGAAGTCATCAAACTTCTTGTTGGCTATTGTCAGCTTGTTATCCTTCTCTTGCTCATCACCAGCTCCAATGAGCTCAAGAGTATCCCATATTTCTTTGGCAGTCTTGCACTTCTTTATCCTGTTGAAGTATCTATCATCGATGGACTTGTAGAGTATGTCCTTTGCAATGTTGTCCAGATTATACTTTCTTCTTTCTTCAGTGGTCCATTCAGATTTGGCTTTATTGATCATCTGAGGTCTGGTGTTGTCAATAGCATGCTCAGGGTTGACCTTCTAGAAGCTTGTGAATGGCCCAATGTCCAGTACTTCCCACATCTCATCATGAAGAGCACATAGATGTGCCTTCATCCGGATCCTCCAGTCATCAAACTTAAGATCTGAGAACATAAGATTCTTGGAAAGAGAGTGATCCATAATATGAGATTTAAAACAGAGGCAAAAAGAAAACAAGTGGATCTTTGTTCAACAAATAACCTAAGAGATTATTAGAATAAGGAGGCTCTGATACCACTTGTTGGTCCCGGTTATATTGGGTACAGTCTAGAGGGGGGGTGAATAGACTGTACTGGTTTTAAAACTTTTTCAGGCTAAATACCAGATTTAACAGAATAGCCTGTTCTGATGGCAGAACAGACTGGCAGCGGATGGGGTTCTGGTAGGAGTTCTGTCAGATTAGCCTCAGAGAAGCAAAGGCAGTAGGCCTTCTGTTAACTCACAAGACACGTTCTGCTGAACACAGAGACCAAGTCTTTGGAGTTAATCAGTTCAAACCAAAAGCGATAAATAAGTGCAGTAAGTAAGTAACACCAGGGATTTTTATAGTGGTTCAAGGAACAACTCGTTCCTCTAATCCACTGTTCCACTAAGCTTGTAAAAACATCCGTTTACAACGCCTTAGTCCTAGCACTTAAGAAGCTCTCCACGTCTTCTTCAAGAATCTTTCCAACGTCTGCCTTCTCTTGTAGAGGATGATAAGGATTTGATCTCAAGGAGGCTTGTGCGTTTTAGTTGTTTGAATGTCGTTGTATTCGCACTGTTGTAGCAAAGCTATCTGGTTGTTCTTCGTAATGTATCTTTTATACTGAGGTTGTCTTCCCGTTGGAGGAGGAGGAGGACAACTGCATTAAATGTGTGAGCAGTTGACTTGACCAGTAGGCCCCAGCAAAGTTGGCGGGTTACTATTTTGGGATAGAGTTATCCTGACATTGCGGCCAATCATTTGCATTTACTCTACAGAGTACGGGAGGCATTAAATGTGCATTTAATGCGCGTACTGTAGCTTTTCCGTTCAAGATTCCTAGCCGTTGAAGGAATCATTAGTTGGTTTATCGGCTTGGTAAAATTCTCCAAGTGCCAGGCCTTCTGGTGTCTTCAGCAGAGAGTCGATCAGAGAAGGTCTTGAGCACTTCTGTTGGAGAAAGCTATCAGAGACTCTTGAGGGTTTCTGTTGAAAATAAGTCCAACAGAGAACCAGGAGGGTTTCTGTTTGTGTAAGAACTAACAGAGACCCAGAGGTCTTCTATTTTGAAGCAGAGAGCCAAAGGTCCTCAATTAGGACAAAGCCTATCAGGGGTCTTCTGTCAGGAGGTCTTCTGTCAGTCGACTAATCTAAGAAACTTTACAAGGAAAATTTCTAATACATTAAATCTAAAGAAGGGGTACTCTAAAGTCCTAATTAATATAGCATCATCAAAATCTAATTACAATTATTCCTTACACGTTTCATTTTGGGGGGATGCCTCGTTAAAAACCTCATTAGGAAAAACCCTGTGGGAAAAAATCCTAATGAGGGAAAAAGAGTACACTAAATTCCCCCAATGATGAATCAAAAAGGCGAGCCCTTGGTTTGAGATGAAGAGTAATGTTAACGCCGAGAGCTATCCATGACCCGAGGGCTTTCTTGTTGATTGGCCGGAGGCACCTTGAGGATATTCCGAGAATGCTGAGGGGAGTCCCCCAGCCATTGAGGGCTGAGGGCGTGAGGAATGAAAATGTTTGTTCCTGTGTTGCTGAGGGGTTCCCTGGTTCTCAATATTTTGAGGGTTAGAAGTACCCGAGGGGTTCCCTGGTGAGGAGGGTTTACTTCTTGATGAGGGAGTTTGAGTGTGTGATCTGAGGGATGAACATGTTCGTTGTTTTCCCAAAGGGTTCCAGCTGAAGGCATAGTTGTGAGGTGGCCGTTTGAAATATAGTTGTTGGGATATGACCGTTAGAGAAGGCGTCCACGTGGCGCGTACCTGCTGGTTGTGTCTAGACGGGTGTCACCGGTTGGCTGAGGCGACGGTCGTAATGTTGATCTTTCTAACCGGGGGCCCAATTCTCAGCCCAGGCCCGAAATGGGGCGCCTATAAATACCCCAAGGCCTGAGTGCCATCCCTTGCGTGATTCATTTGTTAGCGAAGCTCTGACCAATTTTTTCTAGAGAGAGAAAGCATAGTTCGATCGAAACCAAACTTCTAAGGTTAGTTTCTCCTCCGTTCTTGGGTATTCTAGCATACTTTGCTTTTCAGCCTTTAGATCTAGTGTTAGTGACCCTTAGGAAAATTTCCTTCCTTTCTCGATTCTTTCCCCCACGAACTTCCGAAGGATGTCGTCCGCTTCTGACTCTCAAGATATTTCCGGAGAGCCATCGGTCCAGGCCGAGACCTGGTCAGAAGAAAGGTCAGCGAGTGTGGACCCCTCGTTGGACAATGACTCAGCGGTTGCGGTGGAGATGCAAAAGAATCTAATAGTCGAAGCCGAAGCCGAGGACTTCGAGCAGGTGATAGAGGATGAGGAGCTTGCCCTCGATGTGCAGACTGCTGAGGAGGAGGAGGAAAAGGAGTGGCAGAAGGTCAGCATTGTCGTCCTTCCCCCATGCAACGCGGGTGAAGCCAGCAGCTCCTGACCACTTAACCCGGAGCCTCTCAGGGTGGCCCCGAGAAAGAAGATCAAGAAGAAGATGGGGGCCCCGAAGAGGAAGGGGAGCATTGCTGATCTTGGGAAACCCGCCGGGATTCCTGAGGGATACTCGTTTTTGAACACCGCCGCCCTCGAGCTGAAGTCAAGGGCCGACATGACAGAATGTTACGTCACCCAGCTGCACGTTGGGCTTTCAGCAACTGTGGTAGAATCGGGACCCGATGATGTACTTTCCCGGGCTCCCGAGGGGTGCATTGCTGTTCACGTGCTCCCGGTCACCACGGGCCTCCGGTTCCCTCTACATCCCTTCCTCCTTGAATACCTCCGGTATGTAGGCTTGGCCCCCTGATAGTTGACTCCTAACATCCATTCTTACATTACCGAATTCTTGCACCTCTGCCGGTCCCGTGGGGGTGGCTCCCAGCCTCGACTTATTCTTTCAGAGCTTCAACCTCTGTCGGGGAGGGCACGCGAATGCCGAGGGGTTCACGAATTTACAACAGATCGCCAAGTGGAGGCTGTTTACTGAGGCGCCCTCATCGCACAAGGGCTGGATGGACCGCTTTTGCTATGTTAGGCTGGCCGAGAACCCGTTTCTGGGGGAGTTGCGTGATCGTTTCAGACGGCACCCGAAGGTGGGGAATGCCGCCCTCGAGAAGGAAGGTAAAAAGCTTGCCAAAATCCCAGAGGGGTGTGAGAAGCACGTGACAATCAAGGAGTCCACTCTGGAGGATGTCTTGTATCTCATTGACTTTCGGTGTTACCGTTTTTTGTGGGAATCAGACGAGAGGTTTCCCGTCCTCGACCGAGCCTTCGAGAGCACAGGAGGTAGTTCCCGGGGGCTCCAATTTTGTGCACTTAGAATTTTTGTAGTTTAATTTTTGTCCTTGTCTTGACCCCTCGGCCTCACTTATTTATGTTGTTTTGCAGGTGCTAAAATGAACGTGAAAGGCTTCGCCAGTTTGAAGAAGAAATCGGCCAAGGAGCCGAAGAAGAAGGAGGCGGGCGCGCAAAATCCCGTCGATGAGTTCTTCCCGAAGGGTGGCGAGCCCTTGGCCGTCCCTGCCGATGTTACGGCTGCCGCTGCAAAGAGGAAGGCAGCCGGCAAAGATGTTGCTCCCACCGGCAAAAAGCCAAAGAAGGCGGAGGCCGGGAAGAAGACTCCCCCGGTCCTTGTTGTGGATGAGCATTCGTCCTCCTCGCCCCTGATTGTGGCAGCGACGGCTCCATCCAACCCCCCTTGGGAGACTTCTCTCGGGAGACCGTACAATTCTCCCTCGTCAGAGGAACCGCCGTGATGCACGACACAGTTGATCCGAAGGCATTCCTAGGGGGGCATCACTTCAGAGATGGATAGGGCAGCCCTCGGCACCTATGATGATGATGCCCTCGAGAACAAGATCCTCCGGTCTTCTCTGACTGTAAGCCCCTTTCCCTTTTTTTTCTCCTTTTGTTTTAGAACATTTTTGCATAGTGTCCTTACCCATTTTGTCGTTTACAGGCTTGCATCGCCCTCGGTGAACAAGCCCGGAGGGGGAAAGTGTTGCGTCTTGAGAAAGTGCAACAAGATGAGCAATTGAAGAAGCTTGTCCATGACAACGCCGAAGCCGTGAGGCAGATGGCAAAGTTGGAGGAAGCCCTTCAACAGATGGAGCTGCAACTGGAGGCCGCTAATAAGGGCAAGGCTGAAGCCGAGAAGACTGCTGTTGAGGCCGCCAAGAAAGCCGTCGAGGAGGCTGAGGAGGCCAAGAACAAGGCGATTTCCGTTGCTCGGGAGGAAGCCGTAGGCGCCTTCGTGGCCGAGGGCTGGAGAGCTGAGGGGCGCAAACAGTGGCTGGCCTTGGTCATGAAGGCATCTGTTGATGAGTGGTGCGGCGGCCCTGGGGTAGAGTGGCTGGCCCGGAAGGGCAAGGAATACTATGATGGGGGCGAGTACTTTACTCAGGCCCTCATCTACAGGAGGCTGGCTCGGCACTATGGGGTGGAGCCGAAGGATTTTGATCCTGCCGCATATGGCCTCCCCCACTTCAACCAGATGTTCGCGTTCCCCTCCCCCCGGATGCAGAGAGGCCAGACTTAGAAGATTCTGAACTGATGAAGGAGGTTGAGGATGAAGAAGAGGCCGAAGGGGATGCCACTTCCAAGCCTGCCGAAGAGGCTGCTGCTGAAAGAGTCGACCCCTGATCGTGCTTGTAATAATTCTTTTGAACAATGTTGAGTATAATAACATTTTGTATTTTTCGGCTTCAGCCTTAATGTAATAAACAATTTAGTTTACTTTTGTGAATGGATGAATGCATGCCTCCGGGCCTTTCGATGTATGAATTTGTCCTCGCTGTTTTTTTTTAAGTTTTCTTCACAACTTTATGAACGTATGTTTGTTGTTGGTGCCTTTGTTTTTCTTCTATGCTTTCTTTCTCGAATGTATGTTTGCACCAGGAGTTGACCGGGGGCCAAACATTTAGGACTTAGAAAAAAAATTCTAAGTGATGTGTACCACTTGGCCCCCCGTTAACACCTTCCTTTTGCAGTAAGAAATAGAGTGCCCTTCGGCCAACAATTCCGGGGGCCCCGGTATTGTGGACCTAGCCAAATTTTTGGGTAATGTCATCAACATGCCCTCGGTTCCAGTAGTGGTTTTAGACAAAATCTCCTTAGGCAGAGTATGGTAGTGCCGGGGGCCCTTAACTCATGGACTTAGAAAAAATTCCATTTGAGTTTGCCACTAGTAGCCCTCGGTAGCAATGTGGAGTTTGTTGATTTTTGACCCATTTGTAGGAAGGGAGCTGATGGAGTATTAACTCCTAGAGAGAAGTGAGAGCTAGAGAGAGAAGTGAAATAACTATTTGCAATAAATGATTTGTGAACCCTCTACAACTACCCCCAAAGGGAGTATTTATAGAGGAAATTAGGGTTGGGCTCCCAAGTCTCGGGCTTGGGAGGCCCATTTACAATTGGGCCACTATTGGGCTGAGTACATAATATGTAAAAGTAATTAAGCGCGAGATCTGGTTCTGGGAGCCCTTTGTGGCCGACGGAGACCCGACCGACGGGGACACCTGGTTCTCCTGGCTTCTGGACCGTGTTCTGAGTTGATACCTTTCTATCCGATGGAGGCCCCACTGGGTGACAGTTGTGCCTCTTATTCTTCTGAGTATATGGGTCCTGGGGTCCAGGCCCATATACTCCATCAGGAGTCCCCCACTCTCTAAGCTAAGATGTAGACGAAGTGAGGGAGAGTCGATTCCAGCCTTGATGGCTTCTTGCCGTTGTGGCCACTTCTTGTCCTGGTTCTTTGTGTTTAGCCATTGTACGCCTTTCGCTATGGATGAAGAAGGCTGATGTTTCTCTGATGGGTGAGTTTGCTTGTTTGAGGACGATGAGTGTCCTGCTTCTTCAGTGGCCGGTATGTGCTCTTGATCTGAATAGCCGATGCGGGCGTAGTTCTTTCTGGTCATTGGCAGTTGCTTTTAGTGATTTGGCCGAGGAGGCCTGGTGACTGCTTTCGTGCTTAAGGCCAAAGCTGTGGTATCCGTAGCTTGGTGTCCATCCTTGAGGATGATAACGGCATTGTTCCAGAAGAAGTTGTGCGCACTCTGATCTTATGGACGATGGTGACTCAAGGACGTTGGGTTCCTGTTTTTGTTTCTTAGCCGAGAGTGGAGTATGTGATCTATAAGCCGTTGAGTGGCGCGCGTTCAGGGACGATACGCGTCACGTCTTGGTAGGAGTTCTTTGTTATCTTTGTTGCGGCCGGAGGTGTTCCACGAGTCATGGACGTTATGGTGTATATATGAAACATTGTTGCTGTAGTTGTGGACTTAGTATATTTTTGGATTCTTTGATTCTATCCTTTCTTGTATTCCAAAGGCCGGTGTAGTCCCCCAGTCCCCCACTGCTTCAGGCCGAAGAGTGAGTGAGAGGTGAAGGAGTAAGGTGTAACCCTAGGCCGAAGCGGGATCCTTGTATTCCCCTGAATCCAACCCCTTGGCGATTCCTGACCAAGGTAACCCTGTGGGAGAACCCTTGGATGCAGGTCGCTTTCATGAAGTTATCATCAAGGTTTTATACAAGGCTGATGGATGTTGGTTTGTTGTTTGCTCTGCTGTTGTGGCCGTTGAAGGGGCCATGTTGCTTGCAGTATGTTAAGCCGATATGAGCACACCTTGCGGTGTGACCAGCTATTGGAAAGATTATTGGCGGCTAGGGCCGTTGTAGCCGTGTTAGTGTAGGCAGATATTTCTGCTTGGGATGGCCGTTGAATGGTTGGCCGTTATGGACGTTGATTACTGGTACGTTAGCGATGGACTGGTACTGATGGAAGTGGGCCTGACCCATCTTCTGAACCGGTGGCAGCCCAATGGGCCTTGAGAGTGGTGATCATTCATGTGACCAATGGGGGAGTGCCACGTGTAGTGACCGTTGGGGGGGGAGGTCTATAAATACCCCCCTCCATCCGAAGGAACTCCCTATTGCTTTCCGAGATAACGAAGTGCTGCCCAATTCTAGAGAGAGAGAGCTTGTTCGAGTGTTCTTCAAAACTTCAAATATTCAAAGGTCAGTTCATCACACTTTTCTCCTCCTTTTATATACTTTGCTTCTGTAGTTGTCGATCTAGTGTTAGTGAGAAACCAACCTTAGATCTAGAGTAACCCCTTCTAGGCCTTAGTTAGCCGTTAAGATGAAGACCTTGGACGAAGAGTACTACCCGTATGACGACGAGGCCTCTGCCAAGTCCTTGGATTATGGGGTAGTTGAGGAGTTATGTGAGGAGCTTGAAGAGTTGAGTCCTTTTCCCGGGGAGCAGAGGGACGAGGAGAATGAAGACGAGGAAGCTGCATCGTCGTCTTAGGGTGAGGACGTTGGGGCATCACGTGCAGTGGACGGGGCGTCTACGTCGGCTACTCTTCCTTGCCCCAAACCGGTGTCTGCAATCAAGGGGAACGCTCCAAAGAGCAGGCGTTGGACGAAGAAGGGTCCCGCTTTCTCCTTCTTGGACCTTGCTAACGTCATCATAATCAAGCCGCAGAGCTGCGCGACCGAGTACCTGGTTGCCCAGATGTACGTGCGTCCGTTTGGTAGGGTTAGGGTGCCCAAGCTGACGGACCACGTACTTAATCCACCTCCGGGGTACTTTGGAGTATACCCCATGAGTTTTGCTAAGGGGCTTAGGTTTCCCCTCCATCCGTTCATAACGGAGTACCTGGACATGGTGGAACTCCCTCCGGCCCTACTGACCCCAAATAGCTATTCGTTGCTCATTGGCTTCCTCATCCGTTGCGTTTCAAGCCGACAACGGCCCTTTTTATGAACCTGTACCAGATAGGCCGGGGGAGCCATCAGAACTGTGCCGGCTATGCCAATCTGCAGCAGGTGAAGAACAGGAGATCCTTCTCTGATCTGCCGACGTCCATCCATGGATGGAAAAGCAAGTTCGTCTTCATGTCCTTGGGCGAGGGTGGAACCGAATTTCCCTCTGTCAGCCACAGCGGCAAGTTTAACCTCCATGACGTGCCGAAGAGTTCCATTTTGGACGCTCAGGTTACGGCATTCTTGGAAGGAGGCCGAGGAGCGTAAAACATTACGTCACAGAGTACAAGATGGCTGCCATCGGCTTTGTGAGGTACTTTGTGTACGGGGATGCGGAGGAAGATGTCGTTATATGGCCGAAGATGACTACCACCTTCGAGGAGGCCGATGGCCCGGACTTGGGAGTGCAGCCAAAGCCGATGGTAATGCCTTCCCAAAGCACTTGATCCCATTTTGTTTTGTGCACTTTGTTAATGTGTTTTTTCTTGTTATGCAGATTTTGTGATGGACCACAGATCCGTCATGGCCCTAGCTAAGGCGAAAGCGCGCGAGGAGATGGCTGCCAAGGAGGCCGCAAGGTTGGCCGCTGCGAGTGGCGCACAGCCTAGCTCGGACGTGCCGAAGAAACCGCCCACCCAGCCGAAAAAGAAGCGACCGGTGGATGACGGTCATAAAAAACTAGTGGATGTCGGTATGAAGCCGTCCAAGAAGTCGAAGAGGGCTTCTCCTTCTACCGAAGCTGATGCCGGGGCTGCGACCGTACCGTCCAAAGATGCTGGAGGCTCCAATGCCGTCACTGTGGTCGACTTGGTTTCTGCCCCTTCGTCCACCGCTATCTCCCAACCTCCCCGTATCGTCCAGGACTCCCGGAAGAAGAGGGTCGAGAAGGAGCTGGCCGTTGGGACCTATAAGCTTGAGGTGGAGTACCCTGTAAAGGGTGGCGTTTTCAATGTGCTTGCACAAGCCGTCCCATTCGAGGACCAGGCTTACCTCAAGAAGCTTGGCCCCGTCAGGATCTATGATGGTGGTATGGACCTCGTCGTCCAGGTAAGATCCTTGCATTATTTTTTCCATCTCTTTTTGTCGTCATAAGTGTCTTGATCGTCCTAACGCTTCCATTTTTGCAGGGGGCCCTTATGCTGATGGAGAGCCATAAGAGGCAGCAACAAGAGATTGCTCAGCTGAAAGAGGTCGAGCAGAAAGCTGCCGCCATGAGCTGCTTGGACCGGCTGCGGGCTGAGGTTGAGGTCCTGAAGAAGAGGGCTGATGAGGCCAATGTGGCCTACCATCAAGTGGCTTCTGACAGGGATGACGCCCTGAAGGGAAAAGATGAAGCACTGAAGGCCTGTGAGGAAGCCACGCGTCGGGCCGAGGAGGCTGAGGGGGCTAAAGCGGAGGCCGAGAAGGTTGCTGAGAAGGCCGCCGATGCTGCCGTTGATAAATTCATGGCCGAAGGCTGGAAAGCGGAAGAACGTCGGTCCTGGTATTATGAGGTTGTGGCGGCCAGGCTAGAAGATTGGGGCCAGAACTGCCCTGTCGGCCAGGAGTATTTCCAGAGGGAGATGTCGGTATACTACGACATGGGCCAACAGCGGATGCATCGGCTGATCTACCGGAGGCTCCACAGGCGGTTTACTGAGCTCAAGCTGACGAAAAGCTTCACCGCCAAGCTGAAACTGCCCCCGAAGATGAGGGACC